ATACCTAGTGACATTTAGGACGGTTTTTTACAGCTAGATACCAAGTGACATTTACGACGGTTTTTTACAGCTAGATACCTAGTGACATTTAGGACGGTTTTTTACAGCTAGATACCAAGTGACATTTAGGACGGTTTTTTACAGCTAGATACCTAGTGACATTTAGGACGGTTTTTTACAGCTAGATACCAAGTGACATTTAGGACGGTTTTTTACAGCTAGATACCTAGTGACATTTAGGGAGGTTTTTTACAGCTAGATACCTAGTGACATTTAGGGAGGTTTTGTATGGCTGGATACCTAGAGGCACAGTTATCTAATCAGAAAGCCGTATTACATTTTATTGAACAACTTTTACCGTTTTATTTTCTTGATATGAAATGTACAGGTATTACATTCTATTATGTAGTCCTCATAGTATAATTACCAATGAAAGACGTAACTTCTTAGTCATTAATTAAACCTAAGATAATTGAATACAATGTGTAATCAAAATTGGGTACCTATTTATTGGGATGTATGGTTAACAGCGAAAGTTAACAACTTGTATCATTGTTTTTCACATTGTTAATTAGTTATTGATTTTTCCCATTTTATTTTGAAATATTCTTTAACGTTAAATCTATAAATATTTTGCACGTTCAATCTCTTATTAGGTATGTATATATATATACATTCTAATACAAATATATGTACTATTTGGTGTTTGTTAGTGTTTTATTGTTTGTTTAGGCTCTTATTTTAGAGTAATATCTTTGTCAACAGTTCTTTCTGTTCGATGTCTTTCTTAAGTGTCTCATGTTACAATTACTGCTGATTTCATACGAAAGTAAAGTTTAGAATTTACAAATATGTTGTTGTTTTTAATAATAAGATATCTCAAAGCTCGAAATTGATTTATCGTCAATTTTGGTACACTTTGCTGTAGATTTAAACGTCAATGTCATCTTAAAACGATGACTGTGGCTACTGTAGTAGTGTTTGGCTAGAGATTACTCACATACACATAGCTATACGTATATATATTAATAAGTAAAAGACAGATCACGTGAATTCGTTAGTTATTTAACCACCAAGTACAATCTTCTTTAGTCATTTTCCAATCTTTAGCTTCACTGGTATATCGTTTTTATATATATATATATATGTTCTACAGATGCTGAAAGTCAGTTTACGAAGTTTCTAGTTTTTACCTACATAGCGTCAAATGTTTTTCTAATACAATTGTATCTTACTTTTGAAATTTTTATTTACACACTAATAAGAAAAGTACAGGTCTTAAAAACTTGTGTCGTACTAAAATGTTTATATGATCGTAATACAGAAATTGTAATAGTCTCTTGAAATTTATAGATATAATTTTTTTATATATATATATAAATACCATTAACGAGTTTCTATAAAACGGTTAGAAATATGGGAACATTTCATAGGTTTATTTATCATTCTTGTTTTTCAAAAAAATACTTTTCAGAAGCACACTTTATAATAAAATATAGATGTCTAAATTAGGCACTTCCATAACATCTTTATATGAAGCTAATGACTTATACTTTGTCGATGTTTATGACCAAAAGTATTTTATACATTTGATTTTATGTTTGAGGTAATCAGAACAGAAACGTTTCATTTGAAAGTGACATTATAACTTATACATTTTTCTTAAGTAATCTAGTTAATTATTGTTCAGTTTTGGAACAAATGAAACAGAAAGGTCAAATTTTAGCAATGCAATTTTTCATAAAAAAATCTTGTGCGCCCTTGTTGGATTCTGTAACAACCATTCTACACTTGATCAAAATTTTGGAGCATATACTCAGAACTTGAATATATTAATTCAAAATATGAATATTCTGTACTCTTTAGGGATGGGAATTAATCATTTTGCCATACTTCACTTTCTGTCTGATAACTTTTTTTTTATCTATCTAATTCACACCGTAATGGCTAAAACAGAAATACAAAAAAAAAAAACATTTCTAGCTCAAGAATACCTTGCTGAATTGACGACAATTAAGGGTCTATTCTTCCTGTGCTTTGTCGTACGTGTGTATTTTATGTTGTTGAACTTTCTCTGCACTATTTTCTAGCTTCACATCTGGCTCCTTCACTAGTACAAAACGCAAAGATAAGCTGGACTTGACCCCTGGTGGTGGAAGTCTGTAAGTAATTGTCTTGCAAAGCTGATAGTTATGCTGGTGTTAAGGGTTGCATTTTTTTTAATATTTCTGTCAAACTTTATCATTTTTATAAAGCTTTATCTTGTAGCCTTTAACCTTTATATTAGAAAATATCTTAGATATTCGTTCATTAATCAAATAACCCTACAGATTAAGGATAAAATGGCATTAATGTCCCCCTAAGAAACAAATGAATGTTATTATTTTAGTTCGTATATTCACATCATTCAAAGACCATCCAGAGAACACCGAAAATTTATACGCAACATTTTTTTGTTTATTATCTCATTTATCTCAGACATTTACGTGGCATTCTGTTCTATGAAGCTGGAAACTTTTCTAAAAAAGTGAAAACTGAGACCGAACTGGATTCGGGCGTGTGATTTTTTTTTCTATACAAATGTTTTAGTCCACTAAGCAATCGTGTTTTAAATGTCAAAAGTCCCAATTTTCGCTTCGTCAAAAAAGAAAAAAAAATAGAATCACTTAAACTCTAACAACTCCCTGACTATCTTTTTCCTATAGTCCATTCCACAAATTGATTGTGAACAAGTAATTCTATGTAAGGACATGTTAGAAATTAGTCATCTAAAACTTTTCATTTTGATCTCTGACATTCGAAAAATAAATAATTAAATGACACTTGTGCATAAGTATAAGATTAGAAATAACACAAAGTTAAATAGTTATACAATAAATAATATATATTAAAAATCATGATACTAATTATGGTAGCGTAGAATGCCCCTTAAACATATAGAGTATCTTTTTAGAGCTGTGTCCTATTTTAATGAATTTTATTTATTGTGAAATTATTTAAAGTTGTATTATTGTTAATATTATTCAAAACACGATTCCAGCCTTATACTTATCTTTCCAAAAGTGGAACAGGCTGCTAATCAATATTTGTCAAATACCAAACATTTTATTTCTTGTATCAAATAATCCTCCTCCATTCAAAAACAACATATTTTAATTTTGAAACCTGGTATCGCTTTTTCTAAAAAAAAACAAAAAAAAACAATATTCAGAGTTTAAAGGAAATCGAAGTGTTTAAACAATAAGTTACATTGGGTTAATAATAAAACATTCTAAGACATTTTTATAGTTCACTGCAAGTCCACCGGTGGGACTTGCAGTGCTAAACTCCGGGGTTCGATTCCCCGCGCTGGACACAGCACATAGCCAAATGTGGCTGTGCTATAAAAGAAAAAACCTTCCAATGGTTCAGTGGTAAATCTGTGTGCTTACAATGCTAATATCTGGTTTCAATACCCTTGGTGGGCAGAGCAAAAATGACCCATTATGTATCTTTGCGCTTAACAACCAACCAACAAAATCATTACAAAACAATAACGCCACCTTGAGGCTGTCATTTTACATTTTTTCTAGATATTTTATAAAACATGTTTTTGCAAATTCGTTATACATTAAAAAACTATCTTACACCTTCCTTTTGAATCATCACCAGAATAAAACAAAACAAAACATAATAACACGCTTTCTACTTAAACGTATTAACGAGCTTAGTTATGGGCGTAGTTCGTTAATATTCGTTTAATTTTATGTCCAAATAATGTATAATTTAAATCAAATAGACTGCAATAAAAAACATAATTTAAATTAAAATGATACGTTGCACCAGCATTGCTATTAGCAGTTTTTTCAGTGTTTTCTTTTCTTAAATGATCTATTGTAATTACCATTTTCTTGCTGCATGTTAATCTTATGCATGCCAATTCATAGAAAATTACTATATATCTATTATTCTATATATTTTATACGTGAACTATACCACCTTCTAAGATAAAACATAAACAAGATGATTCTGGAGTTCACTGGTCGGAAAATAATCCCGAAATGGAGAAGTGTAGGAAAATAATTGTTAGTGGTACGGAATGAATGTTTTAACAGAATAATTGAAGTAATTCAGAGTCATGTTCTTCGAAAATTTTATTAATACCTACAATACATCCAAAATGTCAATGACAAAGGCTTAGTTAATAACATATCAAAAAGTCCCCAAATTGCACATCAAACCAAAGCAAAGGTTGATGTATAAACCTAGATTTGACGTGCAATGGCAGAATTCTAAAAACACAACCAGTTCATTGCAACTCCGAAAGGTCCAAAACATTAAAAAGTATTAAAATAAAAGTCCCTACGTAATAGCACACACACACCTACTGTGCTGTAACTGCTTCCAAGTCATCTAGATAATTGCACAGTATTCAGTTTTTTAATAACAGTTTAACATACATGGTCCTATTGTAATCAGAGTGTCACCAGAATGCCTGGTTTTCTGCCATATTAGGTACAGAACGGTTTAAGGATGAATATAATATTTTACATCAGTTGATATACAATGTATGTCAACGGATACCTACCACAGACTTGCTTTCGCACAGATGCTGTACATCTAATATTGACAATAAAGTCGGAATATTGGCGGCTGTCACATCAGTGCCGCCATTTGAACACGCTTATTGACTGTTTAAAACAATTTCGTAACACAGTGAACTTGTTTACCTCATCTCCATTTTTTCTGCCTATAACAGTTGTTGTTTTGCGCTTTGGGATTATTTTTGTCTAAAATTATTCATGTGTTAATGCCTAGACTTTTGCAATTGAGAAGTTGGTGTATTATGCATGTTGATAAATTTTTCGAAGGACATGACCTTCAATGGCATTAATGATATTGTCACATGGCAAGCCTACAACACCTCATTCCAAACATACTGTTGGTGTGAACGTGCTTTATATTCACTATGAGGAAAAACTATACACTGGATAGGCGAAGTGAAGAACAGTGATCAAAGTGTAGAATGAACTGGATCTCCCTTGAACTTAGACTTCGAAATTAAACAATTTTCGGAATACTAAGTTTATCTATTATTACCTCATTCCATACTACAAATAATCATTTTCCTAGTGCTCTCCATTTCTAAATTATTTGCCTGTGAGTGGACTTCAGAATCACCCGCTGTTTCTACAGCCATGAAATAGGTATATTGAGAGCACGCTGTTATACTCCTGCATGTTTGTTTTCTCTCTCAGTCTCATCTGTTTTTCATAACGTAATGTAAATACGTTTTTGCTTTACCTATAACACGTATAATCAAGTTTATTATTATCGTAGTGCATCAGATAAATTTTGTTGATCACTCTAAAACTTGAAACTTGTCTGCCTTCTCCTTTTATATACGTTGTATTTCTTAGATACACTAAAGATCGTTAACCACGTCACTTTTGTTCAGTAGAAATTTAGAGATAAAACATAGTTCGAAAGAGCATCCAGCTTGTATGACGAACAGTTTGCGATGAATTAACATTTTTCATTTCCAAATGATAAAATATGGAAATTTCTGGTACGCTACTCGAATGATAATGTATGATACGTTTATGAAGAAAAAAGAGATCGACGCTCTTTTAGCACCAGGATAAACAGGGTTTCTCGAACTTAGCTTTAGTTGCTGAGTAGTGGCCATGTGAAATAGTTTGAAAACAGTCAGTAGACTTTTGTTATAATTGCTTGGTATGACCAAAAGGCAAAAAAAGAAAAGAAAAAGAAGTATGAACCCATCTAAAGTTGTCTGGAAATAGATGTAATTGTTTCGAAAGATACACCATACAAAAGCAGTGGTCTGGTAAAATGCCAATAAAAATAGGAGATTATTCCAATCTAAAATGTTTACTTTAGTTAGATTCATTTTAATTACAAAAAAAAATAATCTGTGCTATTTCCAGATTTGTTTTCTCCCTGGGTTATTTTAGTGCTATAAAACTTGCTACATGCAGTACAGGCGGTAATCGTATTATAAATATGTAAATTCTCTGTATATTTATTTCTAAAGGAGAAAAAGAACTTGGAAGTGATTCCTGTTGCTAGTGTTGTGTATTATAGATTATATAGTATAAAACTCTATATGTAACTATTACCTTACATCTCAGATTTTGTTTATAGTCGCTTCTAACAAAAAATATATATTCATATAACTTATATCTTACGTAAGTATATGTAAGGATTAAAATGTCAACAACACTCTAAGATATAACACAACTTACGTGAGCTTGTCACTCTTAAAGGTTTAAGCACAACACGTCCTTTGTAAGCCGTCTCTCCACAATCCGACGTCATAAGCCTGGAGCCTCTACTTATGGCCATTCTCCGTCTCCGAGGAGCAGGTTTGGAGAGTTTCACGTTTCAACAGAAAATGTCGGATCAAAGGTCAACGCCAGTTTTAGCGAGGATAATGTCTCAAAAGATGTGGACATATCCAAAAGAAATTCTGATGGTAGGCTTCGCTCAATAAGTCATAATCATGTTTGATGTTCTTATTTAAACTAACACTTAAGAAAGATAAATGTTATTTAGTGCTGGCCTTAAGATCAAGCAAGAGAAACTACTGCTTGAATTCTCGCGTTTATAGAGCTTTCGCAACGTTTAGATGAAACTAACACTTAAAACTAAAATATAACATTTTTATCACTCACATAACTTACGGATAACAAGGGACCAATGAGTCCTTCAGGGGCCGTCCTTGAAATTTGTAAAAATTGAAATTTGAGCTCGTATTTTATCTATCAAAAAATAATCAATTCCAATTGTTAATTACTTAAAACTTAGTTACGACATTTAATTTGAATCTTGATTTAAAGCAAAAATATTATTTGAGAGTAAATACATCCCTTCCATCTTCCATTAGTGTGAAACTTATTAGTGGACTGTGTGATATGATTATCCTGCTGTTTTGGGACTTGTATTTGCTAAGACGAGCACTCTTATCATACTATAATGAAGCTCAGACTATTTTTCTGTTAAACAAATTAATAGCCAGTCACTAAAGCACAAAGTTGATGTTAAATTAAATGTTCCTGTTACAATTTTAGCAGCAGTAACAGAAAGAAGAACTGTAGTATGTTTTGGTAGTTTATGTTAAAAGTACATCCTTATTCCATTTCAGCTGCTATTTCCTGTTGCTCGTTTTTTTTTTCTCAGTATATTAACATTCCTTAATATGAATTCAGTTTCGATTTTAAAATACTCAAAATATGTTCCAGCTAACTAAATAGCGTAGCCTGGTGGTTAAGACGCTCGAAGCCCCCATCACCGCACATGGCCTTTCAGTCGTTGAGGCGTTATAATGCTAAAAGAGTAGCCTAAAGAGTTGGCGGTGATTGGTGTTGATTAGCTGCCTTCCCTCTATTTATCGCTGCTAAATTATGGACGGCTAGTGCAGATAGTTATGAAGTATCTTTGCGCGAAATTCAAAATAAACCAACCTAAACAAATTAAATAGCGTTCATCATAAATATGAAGCCAGTGAAAATATACAAGTTAATATTATCCCATGAATTGGGCATGCATGAAAAGGGTATATTAATTAAAAACTGTGGACACTGGACAAAATTTAACATATTGTGAGTAAAGCAACAACGTAACAGGAGTTATTATCTAGGATTCAGTAAGAGTGCAAAGAAAATAACATTAATTCCTGAGAGGGAGGAAGAGTTCAACGCCGAGTCTGATAATCCCTGGTCCAAAATATGGACCGAATTCTTCCCTAACCTAATTTTTTTGTTCACGAAGAGAAGTAATGATACTCCCTTTACACATCCCTAACCTCCACAGATTCGTCTCTTGGCCGAGTAAAATAACTGGGAGTCTATGCAATAAGATCTGCTAAGGCTTATTTTCAACATAACCCAAAGATGATTTTTTTTCTCGTAAATCGTCAAATTTAAAGGAAGAGGTATATAACTAGTTATATATTTTTAGCAGTTTTTGGTGTCACGTATTAAAATATATAAGATAAATTACTTTGCACAGCACTTTTTATACTGAGCTAGAGGTTGATTTTTTAAATCAAAGATGACAAACTTTCGATAGTCTAATTCAGACAAATTAGCTTGAATCTGGTTTTATATTTAATCAAATAAAACCTAATAAAAAGTTTAAATACATTGAAAAGATTTTAGATGAAACTGTAACTGAATTTTCAATTTAACAACGTTTGTTAGAAAAGGATAAATGATTGTTGTCAATAGCAGTTGGTATATAAGGATTAAACATACTTGGTTTTTTATAAACACTTCTGTGTCATTAATAGTAGAACTTACTCTGAACTTTACTGATGTATTTAAAAGAATAATATGTATAATTCTTGCATTCTTTAAGTCTGATTTAATGAAATATTTGTAACAAGTAAAATCTGTTTGGTTAATCTTCCGTGTTTCTTAGAAAAAGTAGTTGCTACTAATGTTAACTTGAAGTTTAATGTATATATATGTATGTATGGATGGATGTATGGATGTTTGTATGATTGTGTATTTTTCTTAAACTTGATGCTCTCTACAATAAAGAAAATATATCACCCCAAACATTTTAAATATATATATATATATATATTTAAATTTCTTCTGACTAAGAAATTGTGTAGTTAAACTTTGAAATGGGTTTTGAATGATATCAACATGAGTTTGGGACGTGTGTTCATAATGACAAAAGTGTTTAGTGAATTTAGTTTGCATGGAGTATAAAGTTGAAGCAGTGCTGTGTATCTGTTTTCTTGCATGCCTGTTCTGTATCGCCTGCGTGTACCTGTGAAATGTCTTGCTTTGGAGTTTGACGTTGATGTCATCTAGCCTGCATGATGTTTCAGAAGTGTTTACATCAGGTGGAGCCACTATGACACTAAGGTTGTGCAGCTTACTTCAGAAAGAGCTTATCAATCCGACGTTTTTAGGGCTACCGCCCCCCATAATGTCAACGGCAAGTAGCTTAACAGGTGCGAATATTACAATCCGTCAGTGGATGAAGATACAAAGGAAAGGAAAAAATAATAATAAATTATAATTTATTTCAAGAAGTTGTTGTTAACTGTTTTTATTTAAGTAAATGGACGTATGATGACAAAAAATAAATGCATGTGCATATATTTATATTTATATGATAATATGATGTGTATTGCATTTTAAATTCTAAAACAACTTATTGATACAATTCTAATTGATACGTAAAATCCAACGCATGTTGCTCTCGCTGAACTCCCCCAAAACTCCAATCAGCACTTTATACCTGTATTATTCATATTTTGCAACCACAAATTCATTGGTGATTATAGGTGCTTCGTCAAAGAGAATGGTTGATTGCACCCCTTAACACTGTGAGTATTATTTGCATGAAACTATATTATGAAATAATAGGAGTATGCAATTATGACTTCTTTGCCTCGTTTTCTGTTCACTGGCAATGAAATGTTTGTTTATTTATAAAAGTTTTGTTTGACACATGTTTATTTCAATGGCGTTCTTCAGAATTAATACTGAAAACATTTAAAGTTTTAAATTCGGATATATTTTGTTTATACTTATATCGTGTATGTTTTTACAAGACTCTGTTTTCGCAGAAAACACAAATATTTAGTCGAGGTTGAAGACCTGACTGATATATCAGACATACAACAAATGTTATGCATGTCGAGCATAGCACTTGAAGTTACGTAAAACTAGTTTTGCGCTAAAAACCAGGCGTTCGATTCTTCTCCGTAGACAGAATTCAGATAGTTCATTGTAAGCTTTACATTAAGAAAACAACAACTATTGCAATTCACGACATATAAGTGACGTTAATCAAACTTTAATGTACTAATTAATTTTCATATTTTGTTTTGGTGGATAGATTACTTTGATTTCTAACTGTTGCTTATAGGTAATATTTTCAATTTCACTAAGTTTACGTTTTGTGACCATATTCAACAATAAAACGAATGTAATATATTCATAGCTAGTTTTTTATGGCGCAAGGTACTATCATAAAATCCGATATTTACTTATGGCACAAGGTACTGTCATAAAATCCGATATTTGCTTAAGACACAAGGTACTGTCATAAAATCCGATATTTGTTATGACACAAGGTACTGTCATAAAATC